TCCTTCCGAGATGCTAAGAAATCTCTGCGTTGCTGCGATGCACTTCACTTCCGATCGCTTCGTTGACTGCGCACCCTCCGGCTGCGGCCGTACACTGTGGCGCCATTACCACAAAACAAAAGGACGCTCTTCTCGAAGGTACCGACGCAGTCCATCCTCCTCATCCTGCTGCAGAATATCCACTTCCATGACGGCATCAAAGTTCCGTCCACACACGTAGTGTCTTCGGACGAGAGGCTGAGTGGCGCGCCCCTCGCCTCCCATAATCTCGGTCACATCAACGGAGAAGCCGCCGACTTCGTCTCTCACCTTCGCCAAGCAAGCTTGACCGGATGCAATGCCCAAGAAGTGATCAGCCCGGTCAGTGGGTCGATCATCGCGTAGACGCCCATCGATGGCGCGAGCGCGGAAATCACTCTGTCCAAGAAATAGCCCATAACCCCGTTGCCAGGCATCTCCCACCAGCACAGCCCCTCAGATAAAAGCAGGCCAAGATCGCCCAGCTCCTCCGCACAATCACCCATCACGTCGGGGTCCAATATCCGCTTCGTCTTCTTCTTGGCCCCCTGTCCTTCAGCTCTTCGAGCTCGTAACTTTTCTTTGTGGGCCTTGGCGGACTCTGTCGGGAAGAATCGCACTGCTTTGTGACCAATGGCCAGAGGGATGGGCGCCCGCTGCCTCGCCCACCGGTTCGTCTGGCCCCGTGTGAGGATATCGTACTGCTCTCTCGTCGTCAGCCGCCCTCGATTCACTATCCTTCACCGCGTCGATCATGTTGTCTCGAAGTTGATTATACCACAACGTCGCCAAGAATTGACCTTCCAACGCTGAAAGCCCCATGCCAATTGACCCCGTGCCCTTTCGACCACAACGACACGATGCCGAATGCAGGTCGATACTCGAGAAGAATGTCGACTCGTCGCGGGTGTCATGTCACTTCCCGATTGCAGATAGCTGCACCATCGGTGATCGGTAGTCCGATTGCCTGGCAGTGTTGTCGTCGTAGCTCTCGCGATATCTTCTCTCTGCCAAGCCTCGCTGATTGCCTGGGGATCGACCAACAACACACATCTGAGCTGTACCAGACGAGCGGTGAGTATTGAAGTCGCCATAAGTCGTTGCCTCTGCGCCCGCGCCCCCCCTTGCTTGCGGGCAGGGTCGCCCCCCGCAGGCCGAAGACGCAATCGTGCTCCACTGCGCATCCCTCTCTCCAGGAGTCGAAGAACATGCTCCATGGTCGACGAGCGCAAGAGACTCAAATGGGCGAACTTGATGTTCGCCTGCCCCGGCAACTTCGCGCGTATCAAACGGCCGCCATCATCGTCGACCACGATGATCCCCGGGCCCTGTTCGGGAACATCCAGGTGCCAAGCAAGCAATTCAACGGCGGACCCGCCGCCGCTTGGCAGCGGCGGGCCGCCCCGCCAGCGCGACGCAGTTTTCTCCGACGGCGTTGCTATCGTGGTAGTCGTCGCCGGCACCTTTGATTCCCTGTCTGTTTCGTCCTCGGCACCGCTGGAGTGCCAACTCGCAGGCTTGTTCTTCTCTCTGGCCACAACATCCTCGCCGCCGCCGAGAAAATGAGACATGGGATGTTGTAGATGTCCAGATCTCGACGTCGCCAGGTCGAAGGTAAGCGCCACTAACGGCGGGACAAAGCGGACCCCCCTGGTCCGCACAAGTATAGCTTGCGATTGATCACGTCTAGCACCGCCCTTCTGCGCCCCAGACTGCGATGCCCCAGAGAGGGCTGGGATGTCAGAGTTGGGAACCAAAGGCACCTGGTTCTCGATTTGACGCGTTTTGCTACGTGCGCCCTTCGCCGCGCCCAGCATCTTGAGGTCGTCTTTGGCGATCTGGGCGCTGGCCCCAACGCCTTCTACGCCGATGGCCTTATCCATCTCCGCCTGGGCCGCCTTCAACTTCGCGTTCACAGCCCACTTGCCACGCCGCTCGACCCAGCGGTCACCCGCCAGGTCGCGGGCGCCAGGGTCGATCAGCAAGCGTTCCACACCTTCGATCCTCGGGGCTTCTAGAAAGACCTGCCTTGTCTCACCGCATCTTGCGAATACCGGCCCCACGAACCACTTCGCCTCGGGGGCGCTCTGGTCGGTCTCGAGGGGGTGGTCCGGATCGTTCATGTTGAGTGATGCGATGTTTAGCTTGCTCTATCATATGGAGGTCTGCGTGCCCCACCGAGGCATATTCTGGGAGCATGGAAAACCCGCCCCACGAGGCGGGCGAAGCACCATCGCGGCGGGCACCATCATCAATAGCAATGCGTGGCCAAAGAGGCGACCCGCACAGGCGCGAGCCCTCCTTCGTCTCGCCCCCGATCTGGTTCTGATCTAGCAACTCCGGGTCTTCGTCGCACTGTATCTCGGCCGTCGGGGCCACGAAGAAGCGCCGCGTCGCCGATGATGCAGGCGGCTGCCCCGCGTGCTGCTGCCACTGCTGTAGAGCACTGCCTGAATGACTGCTGCTTGGGCCCGGCGTCGCCTTGCTGGTTTCACGTCCGCTTGTCATGTATCCTTCGCGACTGGACGTGGCCCTCCGTCCGCGAGAATCATCGGCCCCCACAGCGTCGCACTTCCGCCGGACATGTTGCTCGCTCCCGCAGCGGTCGCACTTCAAGACCTGTCCATTCGCTCCCCGAGGGTTCTTCTTCTCCCCCTTGCCCTTGCCCTTGTAGTATTCCCGCGTATTCCACGTACAGTTTGGACAAAGGGCTCCATCGCCCACTTCTGATAGACATGACCAGCCACTGCTACGCTGAAATATGACACCTTTATTCCCCTTTCCTGTACCCCTTCTTGAGTAGCGATGTTTACGAGGGGGCCTTTCAGTGCGACGACGCCAATGTTTCTTCGTCAATGCGTAGACCTCATACAAGTCTTCGCCCATCATATTGGGTCCTAGCTGAATCGTCGTCTCCGTGAAGGCCTCATCATCGTCTTCGCTGGTCTCGGTGGTCACGGGATCTTCTTGATTGTAGAACACCTTATGGCAATCACTGCACCAACAGCCGTCGGTAGTGTGGTTAGGAGACTTTCCACTAAGACTGGTAGAAGCCGCTCCTGGTAAGTATGGATGTTGATAAATCGATCCCACTTGGGTGTTCGCATCTTGCTGTTGTTGCGTACCTGCATCCGAGAAGAAGAACTTACCCGTTGAGGTGTCCACCTGGTTCGCGTAGTGTTGATGCTGTCGAGACTGATAAGCTGCATTCACAAGTCCGCTCCGCTCGCATAGATGATGCCGTCTGCGAATGAACGCGATCACGGCCGTGAGCTCCGCATCCTGAAAAAGGTAGGCTACCTCCCGCCATTGCCAAGAACTGAGCCCACTGTGGAGGTGGTATGCCTAACGGCTTCAGTAACATCCATGCCAGATTCGGGGATACCCATGTGGAAAATTCCGGTCTGCTCTGTTTGAAATTCCAGCAAGTCGAACCTCGCCAATGCTTGGTCCATCGGTGCTCCTGGTCTGCGCCGAAAGGCCAACAGGTCAGTCATGCTTTCGAATGCTGTCTCCAGTTCCAACGGCAAAAACTTTCGTCGCAAACGGTGGATCAGAAGATCCACTCCAGAACACCATCGATTCCCATTACCGTCTCGAAGATCCATAGATACTCCATCTTGTAGCTGCTCCGGCGGTACTGCTCTCGATATCTCGCGTGCTAGACCTTCGAGCTGAAGAACCACGGCCGGTGCCATTGATCTCTGGGGCATGTCCGCCATCGCCTCCCACATGCGAGCATCCGTGATCCAATCTCGTAGTGGATACATCGATTCTCGACTGGGATCCCAGCTCGGAGGTACTTTCGTGCTCGACTGCGTGAGAAAACCCGCCGCTGGTCCAGCTCCATTGGGTACATTCGCCATGTTGTCGTCGATGCGCAGGGTGTTGTACTGTCCGTACGTCCGTGAATGACTTTCAGCACTGTCGTACTGGAAGCAGGTACGGGATCGCACCAGCTCCGCTACCAAATTGTTTTCTTCGCACGCACCCTCCCAAGTCTGTAGAAGGTAGTCGTTGAGGTATTCTGGGGAGGCCAATGCGTCCGTCGACCGTGAAACCGAGCTCGAAATTACCCTCACGCTGATCAGGCACGAGGGCAGGGAAAGGAGAAGGATGTAGATGAACGTCGTCGTGAATATAGATCGTCGCATTCGGCGGTATGGAGGATGGACTGGGGGCTGGGGAGCTGGCCGCCACGGGCAAGATATACACACTCTGAGAAGCTTCTCACTGACCGGCTTGAGCCACATCAGCCATGGAAAACATACACCATGCTTCGCTGAATATCCGTCCCTACCTGACCTTCGGGAGGACCCCTACACTTTAACTAACTCCTCCTCCTCCTCCTTCTCCTCCTCCTCCTCCTCCTCTTCCTCCTCCTCCTCTTCCTCCTCCTCCTCTTCCTCTTCCTCCTCCTCCTCCTCCTCCTCCTCCTCCTCCCCTCCTCCCCCTCCTCCTCTTCCTCCCCCTCCTCCTCCTTCTCCTCCTCCTCCTCCCAATATAGTGAAACTCTGGAACCCAGATGCCGAGGGATCGCCACCCCAGAGCCAGAGCACGACCCACGGGTAAGGCCCACCAGTGGTTTGGACGGCGGGAGCGATCGTAGGGCCCTGGGACCTGCCCCCGCATTTCTCCCCGAGCTCGTGGCCTAAGCAGAAGACCTTGCACGGTTCGCCCTCACAGAACCCCAGGAATTCTCGTAAGAAGGAAGGCTGGAGGTGCTGGGGGTCCGCAGCGTCCTCGAGTCTCTCGGTCGAGGTGCCCCAGTCCACCAGTTCAGGTGGTGGCCCATGAAGTAAATCGGCCCCCTCTCCTCCTCCTCCGCCTCCTCCTCCTCCTCTCCCTCCTCCTCCTCCTCCTCCTCCTCCCCCGCCTCCTCCTCCTCCTCCTCCTCCTCCCCCTCCTCCTCCTCATCCTCCTCCTCCTCCCAGCGGATCTGTCCTCGCCCTGGCCCCGCCCGAGGCAGGGCGCAGGGTCACGCTGCCGCTGGCGGGTAGGCGATCATCGAGGGGCTCTGCCTTGGACGGTTCGGGGCCAGGGGCGGGGCGCCGGGGGAGTGCGAGGAGGCGGCGGGCTCCCTCGCCCCGCGGCTGCGAGGAGGAGGAGGAGGAGGAGGAGGAGGAGGAGGAGGAGAAGGAAGAGGAGGAGGAGGAGGAGGAGGAGGAGGAGAAGGAGGAAGAGGAGGAGGAGGAGGAGGAGGGAGGAGGAGGAGGAGGAGGAGGAGGAGGAGGAGGAGGAGGAGGAGGAGGGAGGAGGGAGGAGGGAGGAGGAGGGAGGGGCGAAGCAGGCAGACGACGACGGGCGGGAGGCCGGGGCCGGCCGGGCGGGGCGGGCCGGCGGGGCGAGCGAGGGGGGGAGCACGACTGCGAGGAGGGAGCCCAGGCCACCTGCAGGAGCTCGACCGTGAGTGGCATTCCACAGGAGACCCGAGCCTGGACCCCCAGGACGTCCGGTGATTTTTGTTCGGCGTGGGAGCGCCATGCCTCCCACCGCAAACCCGTCGAGACCCAAGAGACCCAGGGCGACCTGGAGGCAAGCAGCAGGGTGTTTCTTGGCATGGGCTTCTACTGTAAGTCGGCGGCGAGCGAGGGGGGGAGTGACAAGTAGAGGGCCTTGTCAAAGGCCCCTGGCCCTCTGAGAAATGTTCTGCGTCTTCGGAGAAGCCTTAGAAAACTTCTCAGAAGGCCAGGGGACTTCCGAGCCCTCTGAGAAGGCCCGCCCCCTCTCGCTTCCCCCCCTCGCTCGTCGCCGACTACGGTCATGAACAGATCACGGCGGGAGGTGCTTCCCCATCTTCGGCCTCCCGGGTCCCCTATCGGGCCTCGAGGCCGTCAACAATCGGCCCAGGAGGAAGAGCTGGTCCAAGGTAAGGGGTCGAGACCTCTGGGGTTGGATCGGGCATGTCCTCCTACAGGCGGCACGTTTACTTATATGAAGAGTCTTAAACCAATCCCTGGAAATAGTCAGAAATAGTCAAAAAAAATCGTTCCCACTTGTTTCGGCTATGTTTGAAGATTCCTCCTGTAGAGGGACATGCCCGACTTGACTCTGGGGGTCGGCGTTGACAAAAATCATGACCTCGGGGGTCTGGGAGAGCGAAGGAGGCAGAGGGGCGGGAGGAGCACCGCGGCGAGGGGGAGGAGCACAGCGACAACGAGGAAGGGCACGCAGCGACGAAGGAGGGCTGGGAGGACGGGGGGCGGAAGGAGAGGATGATGGGGGAGAGGGGGGAAGCGCAAAGGGGCTCAGGGACAAACGACTGACTAGGCGCAGAGGAATATGTCCTGGGGTCGATGATGATTTGCGTCTGTGTCCAGTTTTCCCTTCCGAGGGAGGAGGGGTGGGGGGTGGAAGGCATCGAAGGCGGAGGGCGGAGGGCAGAAGGACCACCCTCAGGAGAGGCACCCCTGCAGGCCAACTCATTTGGAAGCGCGCAAAGGTTTTTGTCACTGCGTCGATCGTTCAACCTTCAACCGAGCGTGGCCCCGATCGTTCAAGGTTGAATTCCGTCGGGTCCAGGGCAAATGCGGTTGCACTGCAGTAGGATCGCGCGGCGTCGGCGCGTGCTAAGGTTTTTGTCACTGCGTCGATCGTTCAACCTTGAATCGATCCTGTCCCGGATCGTTCAAGCTTGAATTCCGTCGGGTCCGGTGGCGCTACCATGCCCCCCGGTCCTTACGCGTCGCAGAAGTCAATCTTGAACGCCGTTGCTGGCGTCGCCAGCGCGCCAACCCCGCATGAAACTACCGCAGCAGAGCAGGACTGTTGTTAGCCAGCCTCGGGCTTATCCCTACCCCTAAGATTGATAAGCCCACCAGCGAAGACAGTCTCAGTGGTGCGCCCTCTAAGACCGAGGGAACCCTTGAGATCCTTGAGATCGGCATCGAGATAAGGCGATGCCGACCATGGGGATGGAGGCATGCATCGGGCTGGAAATTCGTAGTTCAACGCCCAGGACTGCGCAGCAAACGCCAACAGTGGGGGTCGTAGTGTTTTCCCTCCGATGAGGAAGAAAAGGGAGGGAGTAATGGAGGGGGTACATAAGTTGAGCGCAAGCCTAGCGCAACTCTCTAGGTTTGTCAACCGGAAAGCAAGTCCACGCGTTAGCCGAAATCCGTACATATTCCCCCCATGCTGGACGATCCATCCTGGAACATGGCGCGCGGCGAAGTAAAGCACAACCAACTGGAACGGACTTCTGATACTCAAGCCTTGGCTGTCTCTAAACACCGCGTCGTCGAACCCGCTCCTCACTTGGTAAACCCTAGTTGAACCCAAACTCAAAATGTTGAGGCTGAAACGGAGGCCCCGATCCTGGGTGCGCGTGCTTGCTGGTCCCTTGCTGTGGCCATGATTGTGACGATGCAATGTTACGTAGCAGGCTGACGGTGTATTGGCTGCATGAGGAGACGCACTGGTTGGCTATAATGGCTCCGCCTCCTCCTCCTCCTCCTCCTCCTCCACCTCCTCATCCTCCTTCTCCACCGTGGTGACTCTGGGAGCTGTTCCAGTGGACCACGAAGGACCAGGAGGGCACAGGCGGCTGGAGCAGGCCCCACCAGTGGCCCAAGAGGGGCTGGCGGGACGGCCAGCGGCGTGAGGGACCGTATCGGGCTCGGCCGCCGCGCCTACCATCCACGGGAGAGCTGAACGATCGAGGACCGAGGTCAAGGTTCGAGATTCGGAGATCGGGGATCGAGGTTCGAGGACCGAGGTTCGAGGTTCAAGGATCGGGGAGCGGGGGCGGAAGGTCGAAGGCCGAGATTCGAGGTTCGAGGTTCAAGGATCGAGGATCGACGATCGATAATCGCGGTGCCCTCGACGCTTTCGTCGATTGTTTGTGCGGCCCCGCGCGCGGGGCTTCTGCGAGAGGACCCGGCGGAACGACCAAGGGAGGCCAAAAATCATTCCAGGGCGCTCTCCTCTCGAGAGAGCGTGCGCGGCGCCAGACCCGAAAGGAGGGCGGCCCCCTTACGCAGCGGGGCGATTTGGTCTCCTCCCCCTCCTCTTCCTCCTCTTTCTCCTCCTACTCCTCCTCATCCGCCTCCTCCTCTTCCTGCTCCTCCTCTTCCTCCTCCATCTCCTCCTCCTCCTCTTCCTCCTCCTCGTCCTTCTCCTCCTCCTCCTCCTCCTCCTCCTCCTCCTGATACTCCTCCTCATATTCCCCCTCCTCGTCCCCTTCCTCCTCGTCCGCCTCCTCCTCCTCATCAGCAGCAGCAGCATCATCATCACCATCACCATCAGCATCTTCAACATCATCAGCCGCATCATCATCATCATCATCATCATCATCATCATCATCATCATCATCATCATCATCATCATCATCATCATCATCATCATCATCATCATCATCAATACCACCACCATCAGCATCAACACCATCATCATGATAACCATAGTCACGTTATCATCCGCATCATCCGCATCGTTATCATCATCGGCACCAGCATCATCAGCATCATCACCATCCTCGTTATCATCATCGCCATCATCACCATCAGCATCATCATCACCGTAACCACCACCACCATCATCATCATAATCATCAGCGGCATCGCCATCAGCATCGCCATCACCATCAGCATCATCACTCTCAACATCAGCATCACCAACATCATCATCAACATCATCAGAAGCAGCAGCATCAGCACCAACACCAACATCCGCATCGGCATCCGCACCTCCTCCTCCTAGTTCTCCTCCGCCCCCTCCGCCTCCTATTGCTCGTCATCATCAGCATCATCACCATCATCATCATCACCCTACATTTCATTATCCTTCTCCGCCTCCGCATGTGCCACCTCCTACTCGTATCCTCCTCCTCATTATCAACACCGCCACCAACATAATCACCATCATCATCCGCATCATCAACATCATCATCCTTCTCTTCATTATCATCATCAGCGCCACCATCATCATCAGCATCAGCGTAAGCATCAGCATCAGCATCAGCACCAGCATCTCCTCCTCCTCGTCCTCCTCCTCCGCCTCCTGCTCCTCATCCTCCTCTTCGTTTAACGTTCTCGTCCTCCTCGTCCTCGTCCTCCTCATCATCATCAGCATCGTCATCAGCAGCATCATCACCATTATCCTCAGCATCACCACATGCATCCTCATCAGCACCACCATCATCAGCATCAGCATCAGCACAATCATCGTCATCACAACCACAATCATCAGCATCATCAGCAGTAGCATCAGCAACAGCATCAGCATCAGCCCCTCCTCTTCTCCCTTCTCCTTATCCTCCGCCTCATCCTCCTCATCCTGCTCCTACTCCTCCTCCTCCTCCTCCTCCTCCTCCTCCTCCTCCTCCTCCTCGTCCTCCCCCATCCCCCTCCTGGGCCAGACCTTGCGCGCCAGAGAATCTCTGATGAATAAGCCACACATGGAAAACCTGATTATAGCAGAACCGTGCTCTTACCACGAACATGCAGCACGCGGCGAGAAGAAGCAGGCCTGTACTCACTTCGTCCGAGACGCTCCCAGACGTTGGTGGCCCAGGGTGTTCTCTTGGGCTTACATGGGTGACCCAGAAAACCGACGCGAGCAGAGCAGATGGCTTGACAGGGCGTACAACACACGAGCACGACATCAGGAGCGAAAACTGCGCAAGCGCATGCGGAACAAGACCCTCACTGAGAAACTTGCGAGAGGCAGCAACAGCAGGGTCAAGGAAGCTGGCCTTTCCTGCCCAAGATGGAGGGTGGGTTGGGGAGGGCGGCCTCTCTGAACCTGCGACGGGTGTCGTCGCCCTCCCCAACTCTGGCGCACCACCTAACCCACTGCTTCAGGATCTGACGCCGACGGTGGACGAGGCCACGCTGAGCCTCGAGCAAACGGGTCGCCTGCGCAGCCCAGCGAGCGACAGTGTCCGCAAGACAACTACCTGCACTGAGCCCCGGAGTGGCGCGTCCGAGACGGGAATCAGTCATAAAAGGATGAGACTTGGTCCTTGCAACGAGCCGATTGAGGTCATCATCACATCTATCGTGAATCAGCCTCCAACCCTCGCGCCACAAGACTGCTGGCCTCGCACGCAAACTCCTTTCCACACGTAGTCGCTGTCAGCATGGATAACACTGCCTGGCAGTGCATGCCCGAGGACAAAACATGACGCAGGCAGCTCCGCTTCATGTATGAACGGAAGACATGGTCAAGAGAGAGCCGCAGGCAATGGCTCGCGGCTTTCGAGGCGCGCGACGATCAAGCGACAACGACGACGAAGCACACGCAGCCCATCCTGTAACCGCACACTCTGGCCAGTCGCCTTCAAAGAACGGCCCATCAATAAACAACTCCCCCGTGAGGTCTTCAGGAGGGCCTAAGTACCAGAACTCCGACGGACCGTTCTCAGCATCGGGCCTATGGAGCTCAGGCATGGGAACAATGCACCTCTCGGCCAAAAGACACGCAAGCGCAGAACTCACAGCGGCCTCGGCAAGGCCTGGGGGGAAGGAAGGCGGTTCTTTCCCATTTTTATTAAAGTCAGCACACTCACAAACGGCGCGCCGATGCAAGAGCGCGCCACTTACTTCAGACCCACGCACCTGCAAGAAGGTTGCACGTCGTAGCAAGCAGCCCGCTGGCGATACATCGGCCATTGGCCCCCGATGAAACAAGACCTCCCATGCGCACGTTGGTGGGCAGGGGCCTCCGACCGACGGAATCGAACTATGGGCTGGAGCAAGACACCGCGCTCAGACTCCAGGAGACTCAGATGCTCAGCAATTTGTTTTGACTGCCAGCGGACGCACATGAGATGAAACACCCTGCGAATGACAATGATGCAGACCTCGGCGGGGTTCAAGGTGGAGCCTGCAGGCAGAGTCCATGCAGTCATCGATTCAACAAACACTCCAACCCGGTGCAAGGTAGCCACGGCAACAGAGAAAGGCCCACGAATTGATCGCCACGGTGTAGACAGTGTTGCAACATGAATAGCAGCGGCTTTGACAACGACCGTGATAGACCTCCTCGGCAACTATTCTCCCCACCAGAATTGCAGAAGAAACTTAATTCGCAGCCGCGTAGCACGAAATATTAGATTCAATAAACTGTTCGGTGCAGTCATCAAAGCCAGCGTTCTGGATCGGCCGTCAAGATGATGGCCCTGTAACTTGCCAGCCAGCGATCGCAACCGGTTGAGCTCACCGTGATTAAGGCCCAACACTGCAGTGCCATAGCTGACAGCGCCTTCAAGGGCGGCACACGTCATGCTAGCCAGCAGCTTCATGCGAGGTCTGCCCGACTTGAGCATTGACATGCGCTTGCGTCTCGCTATGACAGTGCTCGACCGTGCCTTGACAACTGGTTCACGCTTACCTCGGACACGCCCAGCAGAATAGTCAACACCAAGATTACGCTCTGTGGAGACACCCAGCATGCCGATCTTGCGAAGAGGACGCGCAAGGCCACGTCGTAAGGTGGTACAATTGGAGACAACCCTGCCCTGATCCACTGCAGGTCTCATAGCCACCGCAGATAACAGACTAGCAAGCACGTTGGCAGCACCAGTAAGATCCTTCTGGACAAAATCAGGGGCCCCATTGCGTTGCCAGCCGACATCGCCCACATTGGCACCTGAGGGCCCAGCCCGTCCGGGACGTCCCGCGGCTCGGAGCCTGACGCCCCACGTCAGCGTGCGCCTTGGCATCCCCCCGTCGTCCCGCCAGGCTCGGGCGGGTGGCAGTAGGGGGGGACCCAAAGTAGGGGTGAAGAAAAGGCCCTAAAGGGGCCCCTTCGGGGCCCTTTTCTTCATCCCCCATGTGGGCCACTCCCCATTAGCACCCGCCCGAGCCCAGGGAGGGTGTCTTTCCGTTGCTTGCGCTCGAGAGAAGCACTGCCCCCGTTTCCTCGGTGGTGACGGGGGCAGGCGGCGGCGGTGGGCAACTTGGCGGCTTGGCCTTGGTGGCTGCTTGAGCTGGCTTTTGCGGGTGGTGGGCTGGTTGGACTGGCTGGGCTTGTTGGGCTGGCTGGAAGAGCTAGCAAGGCGCAAGTGGTTTTGATGAACAGTCACAACGCTGTCATAAGGAACCCACTGCGCCCCTCCCAACCGAAAAGGGTTCCTTCTGCAGCCGCCCGACTGCACTGTGTGTGATGCTGGACTCGGAAGCGGGCGCAGAAGAAAATGGCACCGCATAACATCGTGACCGGAGATTGCCCAATCGTTCCAATCCGTCAGCGCCGCCTGAGGAACAACGAATTGACCGACCGCGGACAGGAAATCACCGTGCGGCTTCACCACCTCGTCACCTAAGCCGACCACCGCCGCTACACTGCCGCCATGGAGCCCAGACCGCCTCCTGCAACTCCAGCCTCGTCGAGTCATCCAAACACTCTTCCAATCCCTACATGTCCTGCTCTCTCTTCTCCCGCGCAGGCACCTCCGCCCACCCCTGCGCCCGCTGCGCCCGCGGGGCCCTCCGCGCCTGTGCCCTGCGCCGGTTCCTTCGCTGGCTGCGCCGCTTGCGCCTCCAAATCGACCTCAACCAGCTTGGGCCTCGTGCCCGATGGCCCGTCCAGACATTTGCCGCTCGTCGGCGCCTCGTTAGTTCCTGCAGCCGCCATGATGGATACCACCCAGCAGCGCAAGGCAGATTCTTACTTGCGTATATCCCATGTCCAACATTCTCACAAGGAGTTCCCCACAGCAGCCCCCAGCTGACCGTCCGATCCGTGATCGGAGATAGCCGGGCCTACACCCACGCAGGGCAGGGCCCTGTTTCCAGAACAGCCTCAGGTACTTCCAAGAATACAATCAAAACTGACAGCAAGGACGCACGATAAGGATGCAAACCCCTTGGACGCCCGTGTTGAAGAGTTTTTTGAGCGCGGCGGGCCATCCAAAGTGGTCAAGGGTGGACCGACGAGGCAAGGATGCAAGGGTACCTTGAGGAAGGTTATCCATCATTACTATAGATATCGACTTTAAGACACATCAGAAGCGTCCGGCTCAACAGTCGCATGGTGTGTCTGACTATCCGAGTAAGCGCTGTACGTTCCCGGTCCGCCCCGGCACTCACGCCGCCCTCTCGGCGGGCACCCTCAGCCCAAATCTGGTGGCGCGCATGACAAGCACACGCGTGCCACATCGATAGCGGCGCAAAGGATATCAAACGATAACGATCATGCGCAGCGAAGAACAGCGATCGATAGTAATCCTCCTCTTCCTCCTCATCCTCCTCTTCCTCCTCCTCCTCCTCCTCCTCCTCCTCCTCCTCCTCCGTCGCCGCCACCTCCATCTCCACGACTGTGTCTCTTTGTCTCTCCCTCCCCCTCCTACCCCTTCCCCCCTCCTCCACGCTCCTCCGCTTCCGTTCCTCCTCCTCGCCCTCCTCTTGATGGCCCTCCTTTAAAGGCAGCTTGAGGCTCCATGCGGTGGCCCTGGCGTTCCAAGAGCTGCCCGATCCGCGCGGAGCGGCTGGGGCACTGGCGCCAGCGTCTGCGGCGGGAGCGC